CTAAAATGCCAAGGAACTCTTTTTGCGGCTGTATGTAGCAATAGCTCGTTGGGACACCCGCGTTACATGATTAATTCGCATACAATGGTCAGTCCTTCTCCCCCTTGAGAACCGGAAACACAGCGCCCACCGTACCTCGGCAAGGGCATAGACGCTGTCGAACAAAAAGCTGTCTTCTGCCCTCTCCAGCGCGCATGGCTTCCACTCCCCGGACTCCTTCAGTCTGCGCCCACTGTTTTTATGTACACCGGGTCAAAATTTACGCATTTCTACCCGCATTTACGCGCCAAAACGTAAATGCTATTTTTATGTGTAAATACTGAGTATTTATGCTTCAAATGCCAAGCCTGATTGGAATTGCCCATGCGGGTGCTTAGTTTCTGTACAAGACAGCCACATCTTTGATATGCCCTTCCCGAGCCGCTTGGGCGCCCATCCGATACATTTCGCAGCGCCTCGCTCTGCGTCTTATGCAATACACTTGATCGAAACCGATCAACTGAGGTCCCAACCTCAGGGTCTCAGCTGCAAGGCTTAGGAAATTTTGATGCAACTTCTTTTGACGGTTTTCGGTGGACTCTTGTGCACTGCGAGTCGCCAGGTATACGGTACCACCCTCTGCCTCACTCACTCCCATTCCAGATCCCGACGCCCTTCCCTCTCGCGCCTCTTGCACCCAGAGGTGGAGATTGGCGGAGGCAGGACTGACTGCGCCAGAAACATGTCTATGAACAGATTATGCCGACCAATAACATGTTGAACGGAAGGAGATGAAGACGCTGAATACTGTCACGCGAATTGAAGGAGAAAAGTATGTTACCCTAATCTTTAACCAGCCGATTAATTTGGACGGAATTAACAGACTGTACGACGAATGCCCAAGTGCTTGGCCGCCAAAAAGTACGAGCATGCAGCACGTTCAGGAGTAGCCGGCTGCGGATATCCATCGATGGCGCCATCCATTGAAGCCAACAGACACGTCACGGTCTCAAACACTCCAAAAGGGTATGGAATATGATGTAAACCTATAAGAGACAGCACGTTTGGTGCTTCAGGCTGGAGTAAACTCGGTGGTTCACGACATGTCCATCAACCCCAAAGATTGGGGCCTTATGTAGGTGTCGCCTTTTACGATATAAATCCGACTAATGTTCTACTCAATGCAAATTTCAAAACTCAAGCAAACAAAATGTGCCGTACATTTTCCACCGCGGTGATGACCCTCCGAAAAATTTGAGAAGAGTTCCAAAAGATTGGGGTGGCACGCAACACGTTGCGCATTACATCAAAACCCTTGACAGCCCGAAAAGTTTGCGTGCGATTTAATTTTCTCTGTCCGTTTCTCTTTCAGCCACACATGGCCCATCGAAAGTGCCCCATATCAGGGTAATCAAACTACTGCGTCACCACTGTGGTTACGTTGAACCAGGCTTGTTTTTTACGTTTACGTTTACATTTTTACGTTTACGTTTTTACTTTTACGTTTTTACGCATAAAAACGTAAATTTGCGAAAGGCCCTATCTTTCCGGCTATTTTTACGTTTTTACGGCTCCCTAGCACACGTAGGTTGCACGAAAAAAGTTGGTACAATGATCAGTCCTGCGCCAGCTGCATCACCCGCAACACAATGTCCACCTCGCCGTTGGCATGGGCGATCATGACGTTCAACAAAAACTCGTCTTCTGCCTCTTCCAAAGCGTCTGGCTGCCACTATCCATACTCTACAAATCTGCATGTACTGTCCTTATGTAAACCAGGCAGTTTTTACGTTGTATTTACGTACTTTTACGCATTTTAACGCGTAAAAACGTAATAACTATTTTTACGGGTAAAAACGTAAATACGATCAGTTTTTACGGCGCAAAAGCCAACCCTGCGTTGAACGAGTGGCAGATAATCTCGTAACCGCAACTTTCACAGTGGCGCACTACGTGACGTACTATACAGTCTACTTTCGAAGGTGCAAGCTGAGCACCCATCAAGTTCAATTGCACACCGTTCGCGCCATGAAAGTGGTAGCATCCCCCCCCTCTCCCCCCCGGAAATATTCCTATTTCTTTCCCTGTATTTCTCGCTTCTCACCAGGTACATGTGTCTCCTGCTCAAGTTTTGCTCGAGGAGCAAAATGATGGGCGACGTTCATTACAGTCGAGCATTAATTCTCGAATTCATTTTGTGCCAATCACTCGCAACATCAGCCTGCTCTGCGAAAGCTGAATGCGATGACATGTTGCGTTTTCAGCGGAGCTGGTGGGTGTAGCCCAAGGTGCCAGAGCCATACGATTGTGGCAGCGGCAAGCCAGATTGTTTTGGCGAGGGAGAGCGCTCACCCGCCAGCGGTGCGTGGAAACTTAGCTACCAGGGAAAAGATGCTACAGGAACGAAAAAAGACTGGAAAATATAACATCACATATGAGTTTTCCATCTGGATTACGGGACGACTGAAAAATGGTTGAATGGGTGAGGTTGCAGTGCTGATGACCAAGGGGCTCTGAAACGGGGGAATGAGCCCTTCGAGGATAAAATGGGATCTTGCTGTGTAACCATGACATCATGGCTGGGTCTACCTTGCGAGCCGTGCGATGGCCATCACACCGTTGTGGCCCCCTATCACTGCCAGGACCCAAGCACAATATAGCGACAGTGCGGATAGAATTCAGGTCTTGGATGCGCCCTCCAAGGCACCGTAGGTGTGTTCGAGTGCTGGTTCAATTGGGCTCCCCGTGTCCAACGGACGTGAGCAACGAAACACATGATTAGTGTGAGGGCGAGGAAATTATGGCAAGTAATTATAAGAAAATGGTGTCAAATATGGTGTGACTAGATACGGTGACCATGGTGATAAACAAACATGGTGAGCATGGGGACGGTGTTTACTAACTAGGGACAATTTCTACGAACAGTATTTGGTTGCTGCGTTTGTATTGTAATGCATCTGCTTACGGCCTTGCTTCCCGTGCCTGGGAGCGACCGAGTGCGGACCGAGCGCGAACGGTCAACGCGATAATTAATATGTTACTTTAATGTTTATCTGCACCGCTTTTGGATCCAATAGCATATATTTATTTATTTTCAAACATCGGCCGTGCTCAACTATCGCTCAGGAAGCAAATTCCGCGCTATCCACACGAGGAAGAAAGGCCCAAATAACCGTGTTGAAATGTGTACAGTGTCTACGGGTTTGGGCTATTTTCGTGTTTTTAGCGTTACTGTACGGTACAGAACACTGATGAAACGCACACATATGTGTTCGCAAAAATTGCTATTTGGCCTTTTTTCTGCTGCTGTCATGGATGGCAACGCTCCCCACATCACCCTATGGCTCGCAATAGGGTGCACGGATCAATCTACAGGAGGCCATGGTGGCGATGGGCGTTGATGCCAATCAAGTCGATCGTACGCATATTTCATCAACCCTTCTGCATAATAGCGTAACCCTTGGCCTCTTTTGCGATGCAAAATTGCGGAGCAACGCAAAAGATAAATTGCCCTCTCAAAATAAAATCCGGAGCAAAGAATTCGTAAAATGCATAACTGTAACATTTTTTGATGCGGAAGAGTCGAATATTATACGGTACGTGCGACCTCTTTCACACAGAATCAGGAGCCCTGAGGGATCCAAGTGCCTGAGCACTGTGTACTATAGAGGTTGCACGTCCTACCAGGCATGTGGGCTGGCGCATTCCCAGTACTGCATAAAGCATGCATGTGCACCGTGTCCGGTGAACACATGTGCGCATTGGGCAAGGAAGCCGCCCCGTCTTGGTGACGTCACCTGCCCGGCGCTCATGCATGTTGCCAACTGCCTGCAGTATTCAGCAAAAGTCAAATCGTGGAATAGGCAGCCATGGCACAATCTCCCCCGCCCCCGTTCAAATTTATCTGGAAGTGCGCTTTTCCTTTGTGCACAGCGCCTTTTGTCATCAGAGGGCGCCGGACTCTTGGCACGTCATAGTAAGATAAACTGGTGGCCCGAGTACCCTCGACTTGGTGCCCAATGGACCAGGTCCATTAGGTCCGGAAGGCCTAACAGTGGGAGGAAGCCAGAAATGGGATGAAAGTCAATGAAAGCTGAAGTACAAGGGGCGTGGGATCCTGGGCGGGGCATGACCGTCGACGCTTCGCACCCACTCCCCAGGGAGTGGGTGGTCAAAGGTACCATCATAGGATTCCGTCCAATCACCCCACCATGTCTAAACCAAATTTAGACTCAGCTGCTTCCTCGTTGGGCAAGATGGCCCTCCCTCCACTTGGGATAGGAGGGTGGCCATCTTGCCCACTGAGAGAGAAGCCGAGTCTGAGTGAGGCTTTCGCATGACCAGGTGGTCTGATGGAATCCTATCGTGAATTCACAATGCCCGCGCGGAAAGGATCCCCCGTAATGGATGGCGCCGGCAAGGGCTGCCGAGTGCGTGCCTTGATAACACCCCCCCCCCACCCCCCCCCCCAGTGGCCGCCGTGTCTGGCTCCTGCGGCGGGCCCCAAGTGGCCAACAACGAGAGGGGATCCTCTGCTGGTCCACCATCAAGCTGTGTGTGGTGGGGTGGTTGGAAAAACCGTGCGGAATAACGCTGATGGCATAATTTGTCAACCGCCCACAGCTGCACATGTGGGGTGATAGTAGTGACAACCAACATCCACGGGGACGCTGCCGCCCGCGGCCCATTGCCCAATAGTGTGGCATAGAGCACCCCCAATTACATGAAGCCTCACGGAAGCCTCACGCGTCCACAAACCTCATGCTGATGGTGGCCGTCATATATGTCCCCTCGCTTCCGCGCATCCATGTGAATCCCCGCAATTCAAATCCTCCCTTCCCTCACTCTCTTGACTACCCACCCCAAGCGAGGACCAACAAACTCTCTGCCGCCCAAGGCGTCGCCACAGCAGGACGCACGCCGCGCTGCCTCCACGCAGGCCGCCTTGCCTCGCCCCTTGCCCGTTTGGGATCGAAATTCTCGCAGCAATCACAATTCTCATAGCAAGGTTTTCCGCTGGCATGGAATCCCGGGGTCCCTCGCGCCCCTCGGACGACCCGCCTGCCGAGCCCGACCGCGCCCATTCCCCCCGCACCCCCCCTAGCGCCAGAATGATCCGCCCGCCGTCGATGATGCGGGAAAGCTCCAGGCGCAGCAGACTGTGGGACGGCGGATTGTGCGAATCATGGCTGGAGCCATCTGAATTTTCAGGAGCTGGAGAGATCGGCGAGGGGGCATTTGCCGTTGTTCGGCGGTGCGATTGGAGCCGGGGGGATGGGGATGGGGGCGCCACGCCCGTGGCGCTGAAGATGTTGAAGCCGCACGTGCTGGAGAGGGACCGTGACGTGGAGCAGTTTCTGAAGGAGGCGGATTTGTTGAGGCGGGTTCGGCATCCGTCGATCGTGGAGTTCATGGGGCTGACGAAGTGCGAGAGCGGGTGTGGGGAGGAACGACCCACGGTGGCGATCGTGCAGGTGTGTGTGGGGGGTGGGGTTGGGGTTGGGGACGCGGGTGGGCTTGAAATCGGACATTCCGTCGCTGTTCGCGGCCGGGGCGGGGGGTGGAGAACCGCTTTGAGAAATGGCGGCAATGCGGGATGAAAGAGGGCAGATGCGCTGATGGCGGTCGGCGGTTTGTGGACCATCTTCCATGGAACAAGTGGGAGGGGTGCTGTAAACGCTGAGTAACTATTAGGGACTTGGCCTCGGGGGACGACGAAAGAACGGAATGCACTTTCGTGCGCCGAACTCGTTGCAACACTGTTGCGGCTGCCGCCGCGTGCGTGCATCTCAAGGTCAGATTCTGGGACACGGTTACAAATTTGTGTTGCCTTGATGCTGTGCTTGTTAGCCCCACACCAGTGTTGATGCACTGGAAAGCCCCATCCAGGCCTCTGGCCCAGAGGCCTGGAGTGGCTGCACCTGACTCAACCCCAAAGGTTTGACTTAATGCCGGAACAACACGTGCAGTTTGCAGATGGGAAGCAAGAAAACCCCAGGACACCATGCTCCATGCTTCCCGCAGCCGGCCCACCCCTTCCTCACCAATCCAAGTTTTCCTTTTTCGCGATTGTTTCAGCGGCGCAGCCTGCATTGCAAGGCTCTGCTTATATTCTGACCGGGGGTCTGCATGTTCTCTGATGGAAGCTCAGTTCTGAAATTTGTACATCGGGCTGCCTGCATTTTGCAGGAGTTTGCAGACATGGGCAGCATGCGGTCTCTCATCCAGGATCACATGGAGGACTCAGCGTCTGTGCACCAGGCCTATTCCAAACGCGAGGTCCTGCGATGGATGCTGGACATCGCGACCGCCATCCAGTACCTGCATGAGTCCCAGCCCAAGATCATACATCGAGACATCAAGCCAGAGAACATGCTGCTGTTTCATGACAGCAACGATGGGGAGGTGTGTTTCTGTTGCCACAGCGTCTGCATCTGACAGCGCAGTCTTCTTTTGCCACATGATCATACACGTTAGTTGTGCATCAGAGTGCATTATCCAACAGTATTTTGAATCCAATTGGTTCCATCTCACGTTGTTTACAAAGACTAAGGGTGCACAGGACAACCTGGCAGTTCGTCCTATCGCCGCACATATGCACACACGGCACAAATACTACTCAATATTGTGTGCTTTCCCACTGCAACCGGATGCCTTTGCATCATCTCTGTGGGCACTGTGCAACGAAGTCCCTTGGAGACTGCCCGTTGAGAGGGGAGGTCATTGAATGAGGGCCGAGCATCCATTGTGTCACTTGCCTCCCTCTTGTTCACGAAAATCTTCAACCCTTGATGCAGGCCTCCTGACTGAGCCTCATGTTAACCTGGACATCGCCTTCCAAGGTGGAAGGCAGCGTTCTGTGGAGTTCTGCACTAATGTAAAGGATTAAAGGACGCAAAGCCCTCCCGAGTGCACAGTTTGTGCTCTCTGATCTTCAGTGTGTCGTGCGCTTGCCTTATTGCGCTCGTGGCCTTCCGTATCGTGTTCCACTGTGGCAAGACACCGGTACAATTTTTTTGGTTTGGCCCGGGAGGTGGATGCCCGTCTCCCGAGGCATGCTTTCCCTTGGGTTGAAGCGGCAATCTTTTGGCGAGCAGGTGGTCGCCAAGCTGGCGGACTTCGGCCTGGTGGCGCTGGTGCACACGATGCCGGAGTCGCTGTCCGAGTCGCTGTCCGCCGCGGGGGTCGAGAAGGGCCTGGAGGCGCTATTCGCCGCCAAGGGCGGTTTCCGGACGACCGTGAGCAAGGTTCGCCTGTGCGCGCCTCAGCAAAAATTGTAGAACATTCTTATCTTGCCTTCAGGAAACAAGGTTTGGCAAACAAGGTTGCAACGACCTCGGCACTGGCGAACAGTTGTTGCGACGGCTTCGGTGATCATGATCACGTGCGACACTCTTGCAATTGACGCCAAACGACGCCCGTCGAGGCGACCAGTTCAAGCCCTGGGCGGGACGGCAGCCAATGCTCCGCCTGGAAACGCCCTCCGCGCGTAAAATACGTCCGGGACTGCTCGCCCAGCGTCGCCTGTGCGCACCCGGCCTCCCGCATTTGACAAGAACCGACGGCCCGCTGCCTTGCACGCCGCCGGGACGCAGCCGAAAACCTCCCCCCCCTTCGCCGCAATGTCGGCATGACCTGCCGTCAGCGCCGCCTGCCGCGAATTGCAAGAGACCAGCCCCGGTTGCGCCTCGCGGCGCCAACCCCGGCACCGCGCCAGGCGTCGTCAAGGGGTCGTCCCCCCTGGGCGGTGTCCGTTGATGCGACGTGCAAATGATGACAATGACGACTGATGTGACGCATGGGAGCGAAATGACGGATGACGTATGCGAGGAATTTGCGCAACGTGGCGTGTCACATCGGGCGAGTCGTGGGCAGGGGCTCTGGGAACGGGCGGTTTCAGTGATCGGCGACCCGAACAGTGCATTTGGGCACGCGGTGCGGGACAGCGCTTGGTGGAGTGCGCGCCAATCTCCAACCTGACGGTGGCAACATCGCGGATGATGAACCTTGCCTCTTGGCGTTTTAAGCCGGTGTTCAGAGCGTCGCGTGTTCTCTTGATGCTTGGGTAGTTCTGGGACTGTGGCCGGAGAGATTCGAACAAACAATGCACATGGGCATTTTCTGTCCACAGGTGGCGTTACGCCTCTTTTGACAAAAGCAGTCAGTGTCATGATATACATTATCAATTCGACTGGGTTCAGATATAAAGGAACGCTTAGATATGGAGCCAGAGAGGGTGCCGATCGGGGCGTCTCGTGCCAGGCAGGACCGGGTGTCAGGGTTGGGCCTGAAGAGGCTTTGGGCCTCCAATAGTTAAATGCTGGTACACATAGCATGTATACCCTTTCACAAAATGATACCAAAAACTGTTGCCGAGTACTGAGCCTTGCACTACTTTTCTTAAAACGGGGTTATGGACGCTGTAGGAGAATTTACCAACATTATGGTGGAGTTTTCGTCGTGTGCCAAACGTTAACGATATTGGCATTACTCATCCTGAAGACAACAGTTGCGATATTGCTCCCAGAGACCTGCGTAGGTACTCACAAGAAAAGTGATTCAATCAGAGGCAAATGAACGCAGAGTGGAGCAGTATGTAGCAACTGGCTGAATGTAGATGGAGCCTTGGACAATGTGCAAACCATGCTGTCGTCGTCGCTAACAAGAGAATGTCGTCGCTAACAAGAGAATGTCGGTTGCGAGTGTGTCTGTTGACAAATTTTGCTCATGTACCTACAGCCTCTTGCATCGCTGCTCCGCAGGCGGACATGATCGTGACGGCAGAGCAGCAGTACAACCTGTCGTACCGCACCGGCAGCCTGATGTACATGGCGCCCGAGGTCATCCGGTGCGACATGTACAACGAGAAAGTGGATGTCTTTTCTTTCGCGTCCGTCTTGTACGAGATGCTGCAGGGGGCGTCGTTGCTCACTTTCGTCTCAGAGGACCACTCCATTCAGGTGCGCCGCATCGCTGCACTGTGACAGCCATGCTTCACAGCGGTTGTGAAAAAATTGCTGAGAAATGCTGCTACAAGATGGCCGAAAACACAGAACATGGTTGCACGATCATGGCACTGCTGAAACACAATTTGCACTTATTTTGACACTTGTTACGCTTTGCAGTTCAAAGTTTGCACCTATGTGTTAATCTATATGTTTTGTCGTGTGTTTGCTTGTATTCCCACCGTGGTTTTAGCCGTGCGAATCGGTTTTTTAATCGGATGATGCATATCAAACAAACACAGTACCCGCAAATTTTCTCTGCGCTTTGCAAACGCGACCAGCGCCAACCCATGGGGACGACTCATTCATGAACAAACCACACGATTTCAACACGTTTTCAAACGGTTTTGTACGGCTCGAAACCGTGCATTTTGGCCGATTTTTTGTTCTTGCGATTATTCTTTTTTACTTGTGATGGCCGCAGGACGCGGAGGCGTACATCATGGCCGTCGCGTGCGGCTTCCGGCCCAAGATCCCCAAAACATGGCCGCCGGCTATCCGGCAGCTCATCTCCGACTGCTGGCAGGACTCACCCGTCGACCGGCCTTCCATGGCGCAAGTCGCGACCCGGCTGGGAGCCATGTACTCAGGTGGCGTCTTCAAAAATCGCTGCCTGGCGCTGCACGCGTATGCGCCCCAGTCGGTCGTCCTCCGCGACGTACCCCAGACGGTCCTTCGCGACGTGCCCGTGCGGTCGGTGGCACCGCAGAGGGCGCCTTGGCACTGGCCGTTGTGCTGCTGCTTCCGCCCAGCGGATCTTCAGCTGAGGTGCGCGCACCGCATGCCTATTTCATAAAAGTGGAATTAAGACAGAATCGAAAACAAAAAAAAAGAATAGCAATACGGGGGGGTGTTAGCCCAGCGGTGATGGTAGGCAGTGCGCGGGAAAGATTGGAGAGCGAGTTGGGTGAGGTGGAGAGGAGGCGCTGTATGGCATCCTGGAATGATGGTATGTGTCGTGGCATGACGTTTTGCAGGAGGTTGGTTGCCATTGGTATGCGCTTGCGATATCAGTGGCGAATCCATGCACAACCAAAGGAACAGCCTGAAGATCCTGATGTTAAGATTGACGATATTTATCAAAGACCTGAGTTTAATTGACAAAAGGATTCTGAAATGAGGTTTGTGGAGCTCGTGAGCTACCCCTGTCTTCCTTGTCTAGAGCGGTTGGGAGCTAGTCTGCGATGGCTCTTAGGGAGGTCCCCGAGGGCTGGAGCTGCGATATTGGAACGTTGATAAGACTTATCTGATCGATCCGTCGATGACTTACAGGATCAGCGGACTTTTGTGTTTAAACCAAAGCTTCCGAAACGCCCATTGCTCGTGGTGTGCCTACTCTTCACTATGCCAGCCACAGAGGATGCGGGAGGCATTGCTCCCCGTCGGTAAGGTAGAGCAGAGTGGAGCGACGGAGGAGCTCTGAAGACCTTCTGAGTCAGGAATTATGGCCATGTGCAGATTTGGCAGAATGGGAGAAAACGTCAAGTGAATGGCCCCCGGGACTCAGGCCCTGACTTTTCCACATGCTGCTTCCCTTGCCCAAATGGGCTAAATGAGCAAGCGCCTGGATTGTCTCATGCGCCTATCACCTGCCGATGAACAGAATGGGTAATTAAGAGGGTGGTCAGCTTCGGACCCCTCACCTTGCGTTCCACGAATAAAATACGGCGGATCTCATGACATTCTGGGTCCGAAAGTGGAGAGACCAGTCTTCTGGGAACTATGGAAAGCTACAAATATCTCGTGGAGATGGCCTGAAAGTCTTGAAGATTGGGATCATCTTTAGGATGTCGAAGAAACGCCTCTCATGATCGCCTGAGAGCGACTTCGTCTTTGCCCTCCGCTGCAGAGGTTGGGCAAGGTAAGGATCTCGTTGATTCGTGGTGTCTTGAAATTGGGTGAATTCTGCAACTCAGTGGTTCAGAGTGGGTGACATGAAAGGGTGGGAACGGTGATGATGACGTCACGGCAAGCTCGTGTCCCAATGTCAGCATCGTCGCGCATATCAACTGCTGGATTATTGACATCAGATACACTATTTCAACTATCTAGGACATTGATTTCCAATTGACAAGTTTATGCCATGCATTGAGGGACGTCTGCGGCCTTTGACCTTTGTTAAATCGTTGGGTGCAGATCGCTTTTGACAACACTGTTGACAACGATGAGTGGTGCAAGACTGAATTCTCCAACATGGCCTGACATGACGACGTTATGTAAATTAGTCGAAGAAAAGCGTAAATGCAAAGGGAGCATATTTGCATTGATGGCCCTCATGTGTGAGCATTTTGACTTCACTTGAGAGGATTTTTGTCGCCCTTAGTGCAGAAGGAAGAAATGGCATGAATGTACTGTTCTGGGATGCTCATGACATATCGAGCTTTCAATGCCCCATGTATTGGCACCACTTGCTGATAAGCTACATCGGGCCCCATGCACGCCGCGCCCCCCCTACGTAGCTACGGTCGTCGTGGCTGTATGCATCGGCAGCCACCAGTGATGTTCTTCCTGTTTTTGCAGGCAGGGCTTGTAAAACTAGAGTGCGCACATGATGAGGGATTGGTGAGGAATGCCCGTATCCTGGCGCCATCGATGAGAATGAGCGAGTATTCCTAGCGTTCGGAGTGGAGCAGCATGAAGGGAACCACCCATTCATGAAAAGACTTTGCGAATAGTATTGACAGTGTAGAAAGGGGTTCATCGCCATACCCGGGAGTTGTGACCGGGGATACCCATACGTCAGAGCATGCGAATTTTGCTCAACAGTCTTCTATGAGAAACGCTGAAGATCTGACGCATCGGCGCTTCAGCGTCAATGCAATTTGCGGACACAAACTGATCGCGGGTCGACGAAAACAGCAGAAGGCACAACGAGCAGACTTCGTGCGTGATTATGTTGCAGCGATTGTGATACTTTGCAATGTGGCGACCACTTTGCAAGCAATGCAAACCACCAAGCTTGCAGGCTTTCACAGTCCATTGCGCTTCCACCACTTCTAGAAGAGGTTGACAAATCTGTAAACCTGCCCAAACGGCGATGGGGCTGTGTTCAATGCCATGATGTGCGTCAAGCATTAGGCAAAGTATCGAATGATTCCCTAGAGATGGCTGTGCAGTGCGCCCTACAAACACGTGGGACACCTGCTCCAGCCGCAGTAAAGAAATTGTACTTCCTCCGTCCCAAATTCAATTGCAGTTATGGAAAACAAGAAAAAAATCGGGATAACAACTTGTTGCAATGCACGAAAAAATGTCAAAGACAGAAAGACCACATGCCAAATTCTTAGAAACCGGCTTTAGTCGCAATCAGAACAATATCTCAATTTTCTCAACATTTTCAAAACCCGGGTTACATCTGTCACCAATTTGCTCCGCACCAAGCCTCCCACACAACCTCTCCAGCGTTCCTCTCAGCCTCCTGCCAATGTGCGGCAAGTCAAAGGCATTGTCGCCTTCCTCAGCAAGTACACAAGCCATAACTGCAAATAGCAACCTCCAAACGTGCTGCAACGTCTCCTACGGGTAGCTTTCAAAGGCTTGCATTGTGTTCGACACGATGTCTTGGATTGATCCTCCGAATTGGAGGATTCGTTTTGAAAACGAATTCTATCGGAGGATCACTGCAAGCTACTAAAAAACCCAAGATCTAGAACGTTCAAGTCTGGGTTATTGCTCGGCTGCTGAATGAGCTCGATCTTAACCCCTTCAGAGTGCAAGTGGGCTCAAGCTCAGGCTGTATGGAGGCTCTCCAAAGGGGGCGGGCTCCATCTAATTGGATCACCACTGAGGTCTTGGTATACCAAAACTGCTTGCATACTGCTGGTGAGACCTTGTTGACTGTATACGAGCAAAACACCTCTCCCGTGACACTGATAGGCTTCATCTCTGAGGCTCCATGGGCCTACTTTTTGATGAGGCAGGGGCCGTTTCCACAAAGGGCCAGATGCCCACAAGCCCATTGAACCAAGTCCCGTCTGGGCGCTTTTGTGGGTGAGCCACAGCTGCGATGAACATCACCTTTGGAATAGAGCCCTTGTTTTGGGTTCGAGGAGGTGGGATCTGGTCTTCCGTTGGTAGCAACCATACCCTTGAGCCGTCCTTCATGGCATAAAACCACTTTTCGTCAACGTGAACCAGAAGCCACATATCGTGGAAATGGGCATTTTGACGATGCGTTGATATGTGGTTAACCACACAGCGCACTCGAGCAACTCTTTGCTCCTTGTTCAAAAGTGGCTTGATCCATCTTCGAGCATTCTTGCAGCCCATCTCCCTGAAAACTCGATGCACACTTGATTTTGCGATCTGGGCATCCATAGCCATCCCGCGAATTATGCGACAGCTGTGCAGCGGGACTTTTTCAATTCTCGTTGCAACTTGCTCTCGCGATATCTTGGGACAACCGCAGTTCCCTTGCCATTGGCGGGACAAATTCATTCCTGTGGGATCGTCGATCGCATTTTGGAACTTATCACCCATGGTCTCAATTGTTCGGCACGAAGTCTCGAATCTATGGGCGAGATCTTCGATCACGCATTTCGGCACACGTTGGCGCCCTGCCCTCTGCCTCTGTATCTCCGCTCCGACCTACTGTCCGAAGCGTGTCTCCAATTCTCGTCGTTTCAAACGGTGGGGGCCTCCACAAAGTGGCATTGTGCCCGGGCCCGAAACGACGGTTTCGGCGCCACCTTGAAAACGGTGGTATTTGCAGAAAAATGGCGTCCATTCGTAACAATATCGCAGAATGAGTACTTGGCCGATTGAATCGAGAATCTGGCACGACAAACTAGACTTAAAGTATAACATTTTGACAAAATTTGGTAAAATTCTCAGATGTTTCAGTAAGGTTTTTGGGGCCGCGGATCATAACTGCAATTTGGGAGGGAGGAAGTATGCTATCTAGAAACCATGGTGCGTTTGCCAATAGGGCTGCCCTTTTCGGTTACTCACCAAAAATGCACGCTGGGTGGGATCAACGAATGAGATTAGAGGCTTTAGTACCTGTACTGGGGCGGGCTGGGAAATCCGTGCGTCACATTGGAAGCGCATTTGGATGCTCTCATGCGCGGGTCGGAGTGACAGCGCCAGTCACTCCGTCCCGCGCATGAGCGCATCCAAGTACATTGTGCGTTGTAGCTGCCCTTCCGGCACTGAAAACAGTGGCCAACAAGTTTCGCAATACAAAATTTTCGCCACAACATGCGTCCAAACCTGCAATGATCCTTCCCCCCCCGGAGCCAAGGTGTGCCCCAGCAACCATGATTTAGCCCGCCTCCCACAGTGCACCCACTCCTTCAAGGCCCAGAGGTGGCGCTTCATACCGTAGAATGCAGGCCCACAAGATGCGAGGATCCGAAGGCCGCCGCTTCCATTGGCGTAACCCTATTGTAACAAGAGGGAATCCGCAGTGCGGCCTGGCTTTCCTGCTGTTCTAGTGCAGGCAGTGACGGGCACATCTGGACAGGGGATCGATCCGAGTACCACCCACGGGATGTCCCATCAACACACACAAAGCAACGAGCCAGTCTAATCCCTTGAGTACCATTCGACCCAACACGTGCCGAGCCCACATCATCCGCCCAAGCACCCCCAGTACCACGCACCCTTGCCGATGCCGGGTCGGGGACTTGTTCAGCTCACCGCAAAATGACCACCATTTACTGGTCATTTTTGCATTTGATAATGTATTAAATTGCTTCCTTTCGTCGTTTGATGGACAGACCTCCCAGGTCATCTCCGATTGTGCCTTCCTATCGCTCCTCTGATGGAGGCATCATCTGCCATCTTGCATCAAGC